ATGCTTTGCTTCTTCGCTTTATTGAATTTTTTATTATTATTTATTACTATTATTAATTTTTTATTAATTTATGCTTCGGAAAAAATCTCTAGTTACGCGGAACTCTCTGGATAACCATCACTCCACACAGATTGATTATATCTTAATCGATCGCCGTTGGAAGAGTTCCGTTCAAAATAGTTATTCCTAACGGAGCGTTAAAATATTCATGGATCAAACGACGAATATCAGGAGATCCTGACTATCAGAATGTTTCGAAGAATTACAACGATAGCAGCACAGCGAGAAATCGTTATTGGAGCGATACGAATTGAGAACGAATTGAAAAGATGGCTCGATAGGCGATACTAGAGAACTATTCCATCTTCTTCACAAAGTAATTAAACTTTGTCATAAGTGTAATAATACGCGATAGTAATGGTATGCCTATTAATTCTATTAAAGATCGCCTTATGGGGTGGAAAGGGATTCATTAAAGCCTAATTTAACCATGATGCGCCATCTATTCTCTCGGATATAGCCAGTTCGCTTGTCGAGCCATATTTTTGCATTTGCGGATCGCCCGCAAAACAGGAAATAATCTCTGCTATCCAGATACTTGAAACCAATAAAACTTCCGGAGATGGAGAGAGGGCTGAACTCTTCAAATTTAAATCCTATCATCTTTCATAATACCTTGAACAAATATTCTTTGTAGTCTACCAGATGACCGGAGCAAAGTAATTCTGCTTCTAATCCCTAATAAAGGAACAGGACATATTATTATGGAACCAGTTTACTAGAACCTACTAGACATGTCTGGGGAAATCTTCGCTTTCGTTCTACTAGATTTAAGCAGTAGAAGGTAGCAGATGTGTCCAAGCGGATCCGAAACGCGGCTGTGCCGACCATATATTCATGTTAAGAAGGGAGCCGGAATAGCTCTTCAAATATCCGCAATCCACCGATACGTTTTTGCATCGAGTGTGCAGCTGCCTTGGATTCATTTGATAAAACAGCGATTTGGAGCAGTGATTGAATATGACGGGTGTTCCCAGAGAAGATCATTTGGCTTAAAGGCGTTTTGTTAGCGTACATCGGCACAGGTCTGTGTTTATGGCAAACTGACAGACTCTTTTGATATTTAATATAAAAACTGATGGCCTCAAGGTTTGTCTGCATTCTTTCCTCTACAATATTCAACTATGCGATCGAATGGTCAAAAGATGTACAAATCAGTGCAGAGCATCATATTCACAGATTACGGTGATGATGTAGTCCTATTTGCTAAATGTTATGGCTAAAAATAATGCTAAACAATATGTCAACAAGAATCGGATTCAAGATCAAATTGCATATCTTACCTTCAAAACGGGCATAGTGTCGCTTACCGGTTTCCACTCAATCAAAGCGGAATGGGCCTTATCAGACATAACAATCACTATGCCATTTCGCCTCGAGTTATCTGAAACACCACAGTGGTATAGCCAATACCTTTGCTCCGAACCGAACCAGGAGTAATTGCTCGAAATAAGGAACAAACAGACGATATCCACACGATATTTAGAAAGGATGTGGAGAATAATTGCTTAACTTGCAAAATCCATAAGCGACGCTAATACGGCTAATAATTCCCTTTGATAGGCTTCCAGCAATTACCCTGGCTTGCGAGATTCTATTTACCAGCCTTGGGATCGCTTTACGCTCGGATTGTATACATATCGCATGTACCACTGAGCTGGGAGTATCATGTCGGAAGACGCGGACGCCGTATCCTTTCGCCATAGAGTCACTTGGGGATAAAGTTACAGGTGGGTCCCAAGCAACCACTGACATGACAGGTTTACTTCTGTCAAAGACAGACATAAATATTTTATAATATTTATATATTTATAATTATAAATTTATTATTATTATAAATTTTATATGTTTATTTATTTATTTCAATTCTTTGTTTTTAAATTTAGAAAAAGAAAAATGAAAAAAATTTATAATTTATAAAATTTATAAAATTTTAAAACTTGTAATTCGTAGTTTTATAGAAATTTTAAAAAAAATATTCCTAAAAATAACAGTCGAATAGCAATACAACCGCTCAAGATTTTTTTTCCATTTTTTGTTATTAATTATTTATTATTTATTATTTATCATTATTTATTATTTATTTATCATTATTTATTATTATATGGCTGAGAAATGGATAATCGAACGTCGAACAAAATATCAATAATGATAATAAACCATTGTATTGCTGGAGATATATTTATTTGAAACATTTTGAATTTAAGATTTTTGAAATTACGATGTAATACTTGGTCGGTGCACTTTATATAGTTAACACATTTTTAATTAATTTAGTTAATTTTAATGATTAAATTTCAATAATTTTAATTGAATTTCAATTTTTAACAAAGCTTATCAATTTACTTCGTCAATTTTTGCAAGAAAAAAAATGAAATTACAGAAATAATTTCAGCACAGCAGATATAATATAAATTTTCACTAAGGTAACGTTCGCATATGCCAGGTTCCCAGATGTAACGAAATAACTATATCAATGGTTGTCTTATAAAACAAAGGTATTTGGCGATGTTGAATATGCATAAGGTAGGTGTTTCTGGATCACTGAGCAGCTCTGCAGTATCAGCTATGTGAATCTTTTCCTTTACTTTATATTATAGGTCACATTAATTCCTTCATTTTCTTAAAAAACTTTGCGGTCACCTGATATTGTTGAAAGCAATTCTAACTTTTAACCTTAATTGGAGAAGATTTAGCTTAAAAATTCCAGAAAATCTTTGTTTCTATGTGAAGTAATAAGGTGTTTTTTAGACATAAAATAATAATGTTTTTTTTTTAGACATAAAATATGACCAGTTCAACAAATTAGTAAATGGCATCGCAGAATTCTATTTGAGAGATTCTATGAGAAATATATATTCTATTATTCTTGAGTTGCTCTCCTTAGGGATTTTGCGCAGTGATTTCAAATTTTCTTTCGCTTAATCTGAATTCCAAATATCGCCAAATTCTAAAATATCAGCACGAGGATTATTAAAAAATTTCATATAATAAAATAAAAGCGCAATATCAGCTGCGATCTTTATTTATATATTTTTCAGTTTTTCAAAAGAGTTCAAACTAAGTTTTAATGAAACGAAAAAACAATTTCGAAACGAAGAGTTTTATTTGAAGAGAAATAAAATTTTCCATTTTCTTTTTCCCAAGAAAAATTTATTTCCATTAGATCTTTTCTTCGAAAAAATTATCACTTCTTTGGGCCGATAAACGTCCCAGAAAATAGCTAAGAATCTTAGCTTTAAGGTACAGTGCTTAACTGCCGAAAATGTCAAAGAAAAAAAAAAAGTGGCAAAATTTTCAATGCCATTAAAGATCTTTATCCTGACAAACGTGTATGAGAAATTTTGGTGGATTTAATTTCGCATCTTCCATTTTACCTTTCTTGAATTATATTCAGTATTCTTTGAGTTCACCTCTCATTCCAGATAACAGATTCAAAACGTAGGTTAATATTTCTAACATTACCCACTCATTCATTATGTGCGTTTTGACTGATTTCATTGGAAAGGGTAAAGCTTTTAACAAGGGAATGACTTCAGATAACAATGAACATATAATGCTTGAAGCATATTCACCCAACAAAAGCGTTAAGTATTATGTTCAGAAGAGTTCGAATTAGAAATTGTGATTGTTAGAAATTAGAAAAAGAAGGAAGTTAAAACACAAAAACGAATTCGCCTTGAGGTTTTCCAATTTTTTTTCAATGATCGCTCTTGCGAAATAGATCAGTTTTATGATTACTTAACCTAATAACCTAGATCACTAGATTTTTCCAATTATCTATAATCATATAACGCGATATTTATTTTGTCGCAATTCGTCATTTTGGCGCATTGTATCATTATGAACAATCTTTCTTCTTTCTTCTTTCTTCTATATCTTTTTCATTAGAAGGAATTCTTGAAATTTTGTGCAGCTAATGCCATTTATACCAAAGTTTTGCTGAAACTAAGTGTCTCTTGAACAAATTCTTTCAAAAACTTCCAAATCCAAGACAAGCATGAAATTTCTTAAATAAAAATAAAAGACAGCATATCGTTAACGGATAAATGCGACTATGATTCAAAAAAATTAGAGGAGAAGTGACTAATGATATATCAAATAATCCAATAATAGTAAAAATGCACCATTTAGTGGCCGAGTAGGTGAATAAATAAAACGACGTCAGTTGTGCAATGTGGCAAGTCGCAACAACAACCCTCCTTATATATAGCGTAGCATGTTCCTCTATATAAAATTAAAAGTTAATTCATTCGATCAAGCTGAAACGAGCTATTGAAATTTTGTTAGAAATGCACAACCCAATAATTAATGAGTTGCAAAGTTCATCAGTCAGCTATAAGAAGACAATCGATGACTGGATTCATTTGGTCTCACACATCGATCCTGATAAGCTGGTAATAATTATCAGAGCACTTTTAAGGGTTTCTCGTAAAACAGTGAAATTTTAGCAAAAATAGATATATTCACGAATTAAATAAGGAAAAAAATAAAAGCAAAATAAAGAGGCATATTATTTGTGAATTTATAATTTAAATAACTTGCATGAAAATTATTTAACCCTAAAAAAATTGCAACAAAAATTCATCAAGAATTCATTAAATTTGAACCATTAATAATATTCTTTGTCCATTAACAATGTTCTTCAAATAAAAGGTAATACATAATACATAAAGCCATTATTTTAATGGTAAATATACAGAAGTACTAGTTTCGGTCTAATTTAATGTTAATTTAAAATAGCGCAAAATTGTTTATAAAAGAAAATACGCTAATGCCTTCACAACAAATATGAACAATCTACAATGACATTATCCACTTGTATTTCTGTCCTCAAGTGAATCTCTGGTGAATCCTAATAGTTAATGGAACGAACCAAACCAGAAATGCTGAGGTTAATCCCAGTTGGACTGTTAAAATTATATTGATCCAATTCAATTTTATTCAACTTTCGCCTTTTTTTTAGCTTGAACTATAATTGAATGCTTTTTGAGCACGTTTTCTACCTTAGAAATTACACAGTGACCTTTAGGAGTCAAAAACCACAAGCCATTTAATGCTTGTCGGCTCATCTTGTCTCGTACACCAACAATATTATTGTTATTGACAATATAGGGTTTAATCGAAACTCGCTCAGCATCTGCTAAACGAAACCATTTACCGTCAGCAATATCATCCCATTCGAAATTCCGACAAATTACACCGTTATATTGATATCGGCAAAGTTCATCAAGGACATCCTGGCATGCAGAAAAATTATGAAAATTTGTTCTTATATTCAAAATAAATTTTTGGATCTAACCTGATCAAAAAGTCTTGAGTCTTTTAATAATCTTCGCTTTAATTCGGTGAACAAAATATGTGATCCATTAGTTGGATAAACAATCATTGGATCGAATGTAATAGTCTGACCCATATCGAAATAACCTGAAAATGTTTTTAACAAATTTTTTTCAGGATTTAGCCTTCTCCACATCTTGCAATTCTTCTTTTTCAAACTACTCACATTATTATTGGTTAGGCTAGCTCCACTGGCTATAAGGGAAGGAATTTCCGAGTCATTCGATTCAACACCATCGCTGACAGTAATAGTCGTCATTCCTTTTTCCATATCTGAGTCCATTTGTCCATATATACATTCAAAATTTTTCTTGCATCAATCCAAATCTTGATTGGCCCTCGTCACTTTTAACGCCATCCATCATAGCAAGTAACGAATTAAATGAATTCCTGTGGTGGGCAACAAAAAATATACCTTAATCAGCGAAGGTGACGCTTTGTCTCGATGAAGATAGTAATTGAACAAAGGTGTGCAACCATATGAGATTTTATCCGCTCGGCAAACTCGTAAAATGTATCTTAGACATAAATGGTCAAAATATCTTCTTCTTATAATAACTTCTTAATATACCACGCTCTCATCGGTCGAACGAATTGCAGCTATATAGACTCGGACTTTCATTTTTATAGTGGTTTCTCGACGACTCCACAAAGATTTCTTCAACTAGAAGAATGCATTTTTAGCTACCGCTATCCGAGTTGTAATTTTTTGCTTTGCTTAGCCGTTTGGGATTATAGTGCATCTAACATTTTTAAAGCCTCCATTTATAATTCCTATAAAATTCTGATCATTCCTCAACTGGTGGTGAATTGATAATAATTGGCATTTTACCAGCTTCTTGTATATGAGATGAAAAGACTTTGGTTTTACTTACATTCATCTTAAGTCCGATTCCTGCTGGGATTGTTAACATATATCCAGTCCATCGCATTATTAAATATTGCAGAGGAAAGGATGAAACCTTGACAAGCACCGGTTCTCATATCGAAAGAGTCTGTCAGTTCCCCATATGTACAGACCTGTGACAAAGTTGATAAAGTTTATCTTTATAATGCGAATGATCTCTGGAACATCGCATTTCATCATTCTCCAAAGTGCTGCTCCATCAATTGAAGGGCAACAACAAAATCGATGAAACATATGATGGTAGCTTGCCGACGTTTGAACCTTTCTTATCGTGAATATCTCAAGTCAGCTCAACTAGATCTGAATCCAGCTGGTTGAGGAACATCCTGCTATCTCTTACTGCCCAAAAATGTAGAAGAAACAAAAATTCCCTCCGCGATATCTACAGTATGTCCTGTCACTTTTCTTAAGAAGTGGACGCAGAATTACTTTACTCCAGTCATCTGGTATTATTTCTTTCTTCCATATTAGAGAGTATTTGTTGGAGTGTTATGAAAGACGATGGGCAAAATTTGAAGAGTTCAGCCTGAAAACCATTTTCTCGTGGAATCTTATCTTAAACTTCTATTCGGTTTAAAATGTCTTTACCATCCCTTTTATCTTTTTAATCTGAGGTAGTGGAAAGATCTTGGGGGATAAAGATCTCGTTATTTCTTGCCAGTTTTATGAGAATCTCGAAGCATAACTTGGTCTGCTCTATGAAGACTATCAGTTTCAACGCCCCGATAGGAACGATTACCTAGTACAGAATTCTTTCAATGGCGGCTGACTAAAATATAATCAATCTAGTTGGAATCTTGGTTATGCTAGGAGTTCCATATGATTAGATGATTAGATCCTTTTCGATATCGAAAGCATTTTTTAGTTAACAAAAAGTTCATGCTGTACCATATTACTGTGGATATTATGCGAATCAAGAGCAGACCATCTTGTAATTCCTCAATATTTAAAAGAAATTTCCCACTTCTATAGTAAACGGTTTAACCCAGCTGCGATTAGTATTCATTCATTATGTGGCACCCGTTGTAGCTGATGGCAATAGTTTCACTTTATAGTAGACCCCAACTGAGTATAAAAAACGAAAATTCAAAAAGGAAAAAATGGAACCGCTTTAGGTTCCATACAATGAGCAATAGAGTGAAAGAAGAAAAATATCCATCAAAATTGTTATTAAATGATTCGAATGGGAGATACCGATACCGATGATTACAACGGCAAAATATTAAATGCCACCTTTGACTGGAACTACTATATCGGCATCATCAACAAGCTTCTGATTACCAAAAAACTGCATGGGGTCACGGAACCATGTAGAATCGGTTTCGAATAATATGAATGGTATAGACATCTATAACTGATAATTTTTGTTTATAAATTTTTTTTAAAGAAACTTTGGTACAAACTTTGGTACAAATGATTTTTTATGGGAAATTTACGAAGTTCACCAATAAGACTAATCTGATAATTCTTCGATTATTTTGAGGATTTTTCAAGAAAACTCCTAATCATTTTCTTCCTCTTTCTAATAATAGTCATTATTTCCGGTTGTATTGCCAAAGCAGCAAAATTCATTTGGGAATAGATATACAAGCGAGTGAACAACAACTACCAGGATTTCACTTTTATTGACGAGCTTACTCCCATTAAAGAATTGCAGCCGCCTTTAGTAAAAACAGCCATTCAATTAACAGTAGCCCACTATGTTTTCTTATCAACTGAGCCAGCTAATCAATGTAAAATTGATGTCCTCATTCAAAATCCAATCCAAGCTACAATATTTTCTACAAATTTGGCGCCACAGTTTAACGCTTATTTAATGACTAAAATTAATATAAACTGCAGCTGCCGTTAAAATAATTTGAAAGTTTAAATCTATAAGAATGAGAGTAACACATACAAGAAAATTAATGATGGATTTTATAAAATCCATAATATTTAATTAAAATATAATACCTCTGTTAAAGCGAATAATAATTGAACCCGTAAAGTTAATAGGTTGATATAATCTTGTCGTCCCCAGTACAACACTGAATTATAACCTAAAGGTACGGCAAAATTAATACATGATACTGTTGGCCAGTTCGCGAGAATTTTATCACAAGTTGATTTGTCTGTGCTAACGATCAGTGTTTTCTGATGGATTCTTGATTTGAATTTGGCGACATTGCATAACCAGTTCAATGTCAAATTCAAATACACTTTGTTTATCAGAGTAAATAAAAGAAAATCATCGGATTCCGAATGAATTTTTTGAGCAAATTGTCGGAATTTCTGAAAAATTAATATAAGTAAGTGAAAATTCATTTGCATTTGCTGTCTGATAAAAAAAACATTTTGATTGTGAAGACAAATTTTCTTTTCAAAAACCGGCTTAAAAGAAAATTATAACAACCTTCATAAAAGATTCTGGGATGCTAGGCATATTATAAGTGATATTTGTAATCTCTCGCAGAAGTATGGAATCTTCGTTAGACGTGGCTAACTTTGAATCTATCAGGACAGCCGATCTAAAATTACCAGTTATTGCTGTTTGCGTATCATGAGATAAAGTATCATATGAATAAAGAAATGGAGCTTTTCCATTTAACACCATTCCTCATTTCTGGTTTGCCCGGCTACTAAGAAAGAACCACTAGTACTTTTTGGGGACCATCCTATCGCTCGATTATCACTTTATCATTCAGTCGCAGTATTCATGATTTTCTAATCGTCCTTCTGATTTCAGCTTTTTTGAGAGTTTTATTTCCATGAGATATATCCAAGAAGCTTGAAATAAGCAACATTCGATCACCGATTTCCTTTTACGCGAATTTCATAAAAAAATAACAAAGAAATTTAAAGCATAAATGATTGCATAAATGTTCAAGATAGTTTCATTTCACAAATATGTAAACCTGATAATATGAGCATTTTCATTATCAAAATCCTTCATTAGCAATGGTCCATCGTATTCTTTCTTTGATGTGATTTCAGTTCTATCAATGACTTGGCGATTATCAACTATCGTAACAACAGCGTGAATGGCAATGTAAACGATTACGCCAAACGTGATACGAATCTTCCATTTCATTTTTCAATACATCGCCCTATAAATGTGTAAAAGGAATTAGGATCAAATGAGTGAATGGTGGATAAAGCCAATGCGATCATGTTAAATTCATCTCGCAAAGCTCCACTTATGCTTTCTTGATGATTTCTTTTATATCACCCACTCAAATATGAATCACTATGGAAGTCAAGGAGTCTTCCAAAGGAAGAAAATCCGTTAAAAGTAATTCGCACAGTATAATTAAGTTGTGGAACAAAAATTAAAAATATATATTTAATGTATAAAATTTTCATTAAAAGTGAAATTTATAAAAAAAAGCAAGAAAATTTCTTAAATCAACTTTTGCAAGCCCAAGAAAGAAATGGCCATACATAGAAATAAGAAGCTAATATATCTCATTAAAATATTTCAGACAGATACTTTTACAATTTTCATTCCTTTTTTTTAAATAATAACCGTGAAGATTGAAAATTTAGAGAAATTCGCTGGCAAGACACACAGCAAACAACAGGAAAACAATATTTGTTATGTGATGAGAACAAAAACAGATCAGATAATCATAGTTCTTCAACAGTAAAATACGTATTGAACGAATGCCTTCAACTGAACCGGTTTCGCGAGAATCAATTCAGATGTCCATTGAAGAAGTAAATGGAAATAAGAGAAATTTACATCTATATAAATTTATATAAGAGTTGTGACTTATACTGATTGGAGATTATTTGTATAAATCAAGCGATTAAACCAAATCAGGAAATCACCTCGATTAATGTAAGAAGTGGCGCTTGGAAACAATTAATCAAGCGTCACTGCATTTAAAATAATTCAATAATTTTAAATTTTATATAAATATTAGCTGATTTCAAATGATTGCTTAATTATAGTTGTTAATTAATTATGTTAATTAATTAATTAAATTGAGAAAATTAAATGGAAGATAATTATTATTTTTATTTAAAATTATTTAAAAAATAGATTATTTACTTAATGGCTATTTTTGCGCATATTTTCACTTTGTTTTTTTTTAAAAAAGTCCTCACCATTGCTGGTTAAACTTTCAGCACTTTGAGGGAATATCGGATCTATTTTTTTAACATTCCATGCATAACTCCATAATATACCACACAATTGGAATACTGATAAAAAACTAAAAAAATTTTTTTTGGAATTGTGAAAAAAATCGGTGGAAATCTATTCAAAACTGGCAGTAAATACTAAATTTTGAAAATATGAAAATATGAAAAATGAAAATATGAAATATTAATTAGTAAGTAATTGAAGCTCACCATTTCTTCTTAGGCTCGCTCCCTGACTGTTGTCAGAACTGGAAATTTTCGTCAGGGAGCCACATGCTGATAATACAGGTGGATCGCCAATCGCCGACCATTCAAATTTTAATAAATAATAACTTTGATACTTTAGATTTATGTATTATATATAATATAATTATTAATTGTTAGATTAAAATAAATGCCAATATAATTAATATATTCAATATTTAAAATTTCATAAGCCATTTGCTAGTATAAACAAAAACCCATAATTAAACAGGTTTTACAATTTAACACGAAATGCCATAAACCAAACAGTGGTACCTACTATATTCATCGTCGTAACAATCGTCTTCAAATTTTTTTTCTTTTAAGCAATTTCATCCACCAAAAATAGACGAAATACGAAAATAACCGTGTTGCAATAACCAAGAGAATGAAATTTCGCTAAGCAATCCATTTCAGAATCGTACCGAAAATAACCTTTAAAAAATGTGCTTAAATTTTCTACATCAGCTGAATAAATGGCAAAATTAAATGAAACAAATAATTCATGTTCCATCACAATTTTCATAATCGCAATTATGAAAATTTAAACGAAATAAATATTTAGATAAGTAAATAAGCATCGTTTCTTGGCTTGTCGTTTCTAGCCACTGTAGTTATAAATTTTTGCCATTCAGAAAGTCACTTGGCGATGGAAGAAAATCGGCATCATGCGCAATTTTCAATTATAACTTCGTTACTTCTGTCGGAGATAGGACCATTTCTTTCAGCACCATAGTCTCAGCCACTATCTCTCGATTAATCTCTCCCTATAGCGAAGCGTAACAATAATAATAGTATTATTGATAACAATAATTGCAGTAATATTAACATTAATAACAACACTAACAACACTAATGAAAAATTGTAGAATTAAAATATGCGAACAGACCTAAAACAAAAAATTTTTGGCTCTTACTATATAACAATTTGGCTGAAATAATTTAATTGACAAAATACAGTTTAAGAAAGTTTTTGGCAAAGTTTTTGGTCAGTACGATATTTCTCACGAAAAAATTTCGCATTCGTTAATAAAAATAAAAAATATAAATTTCTGAACACAAAATTTTACACAAAATATTTAAACAAAACAAATGATTCTTCAAGAAAAGAAAAAATAGTCCAAAAAAAGAACTTTACATACATTATTTGGCAGACAATTATTGCATTAACGATTGAATAACAAAAATCTTACATTTTTTTGTGCATCGATACTGAGGCCACACAGGAATAATAAATCTTTCCTTCAAAAATCCGGATGATATTGGCGGCTCATTTATACTTACTTCTAGCTCCAAGACTTCCTGGCAAAATTTGCCCGGTCCAATAAGCCAGTGAAGCGAGCCTAACCAATGATTGTATTAGAAAAAACCTCTTTTGTCACCATATTTTTATAAAAATATGGATTCGAAATCGATGAAGACATCATACCTACCTTCTTTTTCAGTTTCTTCCTATGTGTAGAGCTCACTACTGTGACTCTCGCTAGTAGGAAAACAGTTAGATTCATCATTGTTTTTCTGGCGATTTGCGCTTCAGTACAGTTGTTTTGTTGGTATCAATCAAGTCATTCATCTGTTTGTAAGCCAAGTCAAAAATGACTAAATAATATGTGATCCGATGATGTGATTTTGGCTCGCAAAGACAAATGAAACAAGTAGAAGTTATTCAAACTGTATTGCTTGGACAAAGTGAATCTGAACTTTTTCCTTCATTTCCCATTTAATTGCTTCGTCTGATGACGAAAATCAATCGGAAACTTAAGGTAACATCTTGATGAACTCAAAGCCTTCAGAGCCCCTAATTATTCTTTTCAACACTTCCAACCATGGTTCGATTGCCAGAGAGTATTGCTATTGAAATTTAAGATATTATTCTTTCGCTTCAAGCTACGGAGCCTTAATAAACTTTAAGAGAGAATGTTTTATATAATGCAATACTGAATCCGAGAGACAATATTAAGGCTTAAAGGCTTCTCACTGAACAAGAACTTAATGGTAGAAGACCGTCTTAAAGGTACAAAAGCATTTATTGTTAAATAACTTTGATCAAACTCTACTACTATTGCGACTACTGTTCTTTTCTTTCCGCTAATGTTTATGCAATATTGTCTTTGATCAATGACGCTCTTACGTTAGATGCAATTACTCAACTCGTAAACAAAATTCTGGAAACAATAAAAATATCTGTAAGATCCTTCGAGTGAAATTGATGAACATAAATTTAACCGACTTGAACAGATTATCACTTCAAAAATAAATTATCACGTGTTCCAAACAAGATAGTGCAATATTCATATTTCTAGCAGTTCGAAGGAAAGGACTATATACCACTCCATAACAGGGGAAACAAGACCAGATTAGCAGCCAATGGCGACTAGTGTTGGTCCTCACTTTCCATGTTGTTTCTTTCCCAACATTGACTGCGCACGTCATTATCTAGTGCAGAAATTAACATCATACTAGAATCTGATAAATATCATAAGAACCACAAGGACAGAATTAAATCAATAGAGCACCAATCATATAGAGAATTACTTCATTGAAGTACTTGACTTCGTTGGATTTTTATTGTCGCAAACGCAAATCCGGTGGGTCAGTGACAAGAATCACCGAGAATCGAAGTTTTGAATCCGTCCGATGCACCACGCTTCGTCGCGCGACAACGTCGTTTAAAGAAGAAAATAAAATAAAGGTAGAATAGTTCCTTCCGTGGGTTGTATTGCTCAATCCGGAGTGTCGATACTGAAGTTTATTCCAGACAGGAATAAAGCTTTTTTCCAAAAATCCTGGTAATCTGTTCGCTTTATCGGCGGCTTACTTTATCGCTCTGGAAATATTGGAAAATTCGACAAGCCTGTGGAGCTAGTCTAACCAGCAATGGTAAATACTCTTGAAAAAAAATTAATAGATCACTTAGATCACTTAATTAATAGATCACTAGGTCACTTAATAGGAAGTTAAAGACACTTCAACACAGTGTGACTCATCATATTGAAATTTAAGGAGCAATTATATCAGTTAAAATACGGAAACTTGTTTCTAATCGACTCAGAGAGCAATATATTATCTAGGAATCATTTAACTATCATCTAGTAGTAGTTGAACCTGACCTCTCGATATGGTGCCGAAGTCTTCTGAAGACTAGCTTCCTTGTAGTGATTATTTGCACGCTGAATCGCATCAGCATGCCAGATCTGTTTAATTCCTCTCACATTCATGATTTTAGCAACGATAGAATGCAGCATTATCAATGATTCATTGAATTACATTTGAACTGATTGCTGATTGCTGAAATGGCTATTACCGCATCATTTGGACAATTTGAGTCTGTACGAAAGCCGTTTTGGTCTAACCCTATAAAAACTTTTCAGCGCTTTTATCGAACGCTTTATTCGTTCGTAACTTTTTGTAACTTGCTACGCATAACCGACGATCTATTGCTAGTAACCTCAAGGCCAGTTGAATATAAAGGACATTTTCCTATTTCAATTTGTAAGTAGGGGAATTATCAATGCCTCGAAATCGCAGTTGGTACAGCCAGAATTAGAATTTGTTGTATATCACATATTCACCTCAGGAACACGATCGCTGAACTACAAGATTCAAACCATCAAAGATTTTTTTCAACCTGCTATCAAACGCAGATTAAAAATTCCTTGTCTTGGTAAATTTCTATCGTTCGATTAATGCTGCATGAGGCTAAGGCTAAAGGATCTTTTGGCTGGCAAGGACAAAACCCTAATATCTGTTGATACATGGAAGTTTACATTTAAGTTAATGATTTTAAAAATGCTTTTGCTTCGGCAACAGTGACATTTGATATAATTAATATGCACTGGTAACGCATAGGTAACGTATGTCAGATTCTGCTACTGGAGTAGGGCAACAAAAAGAATTGCAATATTTTTTCTTGAACAAAAAGCTCGAAAAGAAATACAGCGCTTTCAGCAAAGAGCTACTACTTACAACTATCTGGCAATTAAAGGGGATAGAATGGCTCAGTGGGTTGTTGCTCAATTGCAAGCGCCCATGCTGAGGTTCGATTCTCCCAGGAGTAAACCTATACAAAAACCCAGGTGATGCTGGCGACTCACCTGTATTTCTATCGCCAAGGGATTCCATGGCATATTGCCCAATGCGACAAGCCAGTGAAGCGAGTTTAACCAGTAATGGTGAGGACTCTTTAGAAAAAAAATCTGGCAATTAACATTATACACTTTTCCACACCTGTAATGCAGACATTTCTTTGCATTAACTTATATATGCCGTCGATCTGACAGATGTTCTTCGTAAGAACCGAGAAATCTACAGTTCATCGCAGAGTTCGCTTCTAACGTTCGCCATGTTAAGGCAAAGACAAATGTTACTGGCTAGGCTCGCCTACAATAAACGTAGTTCTAAAACCGGGCCTTGAACTTAATCCAATAGCTCGATCTGGAAAGCGAGCTGAAATTAGGATTCGAACTAGGATGCATAGCTTAGTCTGACAAACTTTTGGTCTGACAAAAGCTCGGCGACGAATACCGAAATAAACTGTCCTTTGATAAGTTTCGCTGCCATATAGGCACATCAAAATGCCTCAACGGCAAATCATAAAAATAATAATATTATTTTTTAAATCTAAAATGCTTTCGAAAATTAGCCGAAAGAAGAAACCGTTCCATCTTTTCATGGCACCTAAGGCGCTGTCGTTCATTAAGCCTTTTCCCTCAGATCTTTTCTTTTTTTTTTAAAACACGAATTTCAACTCCAACTCGCTCTTAGAACTTTCTTTTTTGTGCTGCAAAAGACGTCCACCTTCGGCTTACTGGGAAATTGCTTGCATCGAGTGTGGTCTGCGATTCCGATCACCCATTTGAACGTATGCGGGGCAATCGACGAAACCCTCAGTGAGCCTTTGCTTATTTTTTAATGCGGTAGGGAAACGACACCTAAAAGTACTGTGGGGTAAAAAATTACGAGTCGCGTTTCTGATTTGCGGATGCAGATTTGCAGCGCGAAAGAAATAAAATCATCGTTATCACTTCAGCATCACATAGCATTAATTTTGTTGATTTTTAATCGCGTAAGATCCAATTAACAGATCCCAAAGAAAAAAGCGAAAGGTGAATCGTTTTGAGTTTTGGATCAGATATTTCGAAAACCCGAAAAAAATGCTGTCGAAGAAGGAAATGGATCTAAAAACCACTGAACAATGCGGCCTTGATCTCCAGGTATACTTCGTCGGGTCTGGGCAGTGTGCAGTTCGAGACCAAGATCCAAGCGATAAAAACTCGACTGCCTTACCTCCCTTACCTCATATTCAATTTGTCAATTTTCAATCGTTGATAAATTATAGTGCAGGAAATATGTGAGGACTGGGATATTTGCAACCTATATAAAAATACAGTTGGAAGATATTAAAAGTGAAAATATAAAAAATCACTTCTTTATTTATTGTATTAAGTATTCCCTCACCGGTGTTTTCTCTGTTCGACGAATGCTCCATTTGATTCATTTGGGAAATAAAGTTTTAGGATTACGAACTCTTAGTCGAAGTGGTTAAATCGGATGATGAAAGCGTTTTTAAATCAGTGCAAGAAAATCTTAAAAATGAGAAGGACGATTCAGCTGAAGACGACTTGTTTTGTCGCCCTCTGTTCGAATCTGCGACTGATTCGAGCCATTCATCTTCAGGTTTTACTTTTTTTCAAATAGTGAAAAGAAAATGAGATGAGAGATGTTTGCATTTGTTGTTCATAACTAAGAAAGAACAGGTTTGTAAATGGTCAAAGAGTATTTCTGCTCGAATAGTTTACTTTTTTATTTCAAGAAAAAACAGTTGCAGACACCTTAAATGATTTTCAAGCCTTGGAAGCGATGGAATTATAAGCAAACTTTAGAAGAATATCGGTTCTTACTGAGATCCGCTAACGAAAGTCTACTGCAAAGTTAAATCTTTGTTGTTCATCATCAGTTGCTTCTCTTTTCTTCTCAGTTATTCTATATGCCATTAATATGATTTTAATATTTTTATAAATAACTATAAAATCTTCAGTAAATGAATAATTGAGTTCCTTTATTCAGAAAATTTTCAGTAATTCTTATTACATTTCTCCTGATTACTTCTGATTTTAACTCCAACGGAATTTTTTTCTAAATTTTTTCCTAAATAGTAATGTAAAATAAGCATAAGAAATATTAAGGAATTGATAATCGGCTAGATCGGCCATGGAACAACATGAATTAATCGCAAATTTCTTATATTTATTGGGTAAATAAAAAAACCTTGAAGTAAGGAATGAGACTAAAATGGATTTCCACAGTTTTTCTTTTATTTCTGTATTCCTATTTTCCAAAGAATTCGTTTCTTCAAATGAACTTTGTTGTGATTCGAAATAAAATTATTCGATGGAAGAAATAGCCTATTTTTATTTTTATAGTCTATTTTTTTAGAAATAGCCTATTTTATCCAAAAAACTACAATCCATTAATATTTTCTGCTTGAAAAAAATTTCTTTGTTTTCCCTCAAAATTTATTTCATGAAATATCATTTATAAGCGAAATAAACGAATCGTACTTTTCATACTTTTCATAATAAATGAAGAATCATAATTTACACTAGAAAGAGAAAAAAAGAAATGATAAATCACAATAAAATGAGTGAAAATTATCGAAAGCATATTAATAATTAATATCTATGATATGAGAATCTACCATTAATGAAAGGCTAATGTCAAAGAGCCGTCCAACTTAAAGACTGCTTTCTTTTACAGCGGACCTAGGAAATGACTGAAATAATTAATCTCAATAAAGTCTATTTCTACAGAAGAAAAGCGAGCAGTTTGCTGCGAATGTCACTGAAATAGTTACATCAAATGACAAATAGTTTTTTATCAACGAAACAGCAAGTAAGAAAGAAGCGACTCTTGCACTGCTTCGGCTTAAAGCAAAAAGCAAAGAGCATTGACATGAGTACCTGTCATTAAATATAAAATTAGAATGATGCTGTTGATTTCTCGCGTCTTTCCACAGGCGAACATCGCTTTAGTAACCAGAGGAGATGGCGAAACTAAAGAACGGAATTTGAAGAAAAGGATACTTTCATTTAAAGTCGTTAAATATAGATTGTTTTATAAAAAATCGTAAATATTACCCTAAATTTATTTGTTTACAATCCATAAGTTCATAGCCTTTCGTTCAAGCTTCTACGAGTTTTTATTTCGTCCATTGTTGTTTCAGTGGTGATGACAAAACTTCGGCGAAATTTTCTTTTTGGCCCCTTTAAAACCTCATCCAATATCCAAGATGGAAACTTTCCGTCGGGAGAAACAGCATTTTTAGGAGTTTTGGGAGGTTCATCCGCTTCATCCAATGCTTTCACAGTTGCTACTTGCGTTTGTGGGACAACCACTTCTTTTTCTGCTTCCCTAGGTGAAATTGGTTCTTCCATACTTGGTCCATCTGATCCAGAACTCACTGCAATATAAATATGCATTAAATTCGGTTGGAAATAAATGAACTGCATGATCTTTATTTTCTTACTGGATGTAATATATTTATTACACAAAAAATATTGGCAAACTGTGAATACAGTGAATTTGTTGAAATTTTGAATGCACAAAGAATTTTATAAGAATTTTATTTTGAGCTTAATTTTTGAGAAAAAACAAAAATTATAAGGTTTTTGTTAAAATAGCAAACCTTAATTTAATCAATTTTTGAAACTAAACTAAAAGAATTTGCAAAGTACTAAGCAATTCGCACCATAGTACTATAAAGTTCATCGCTAAAACATGAGAAATGAGAAATTAAATGTGTGGATTTATACAGTGCAAAATTTGGGCCGATTGAGCCATGGTATGTTGCCTTGACTTGACTTAGGAGCCGACAAGCCGCCGGCTTTGCCTCTCGGCGAGAATAGACTCCTTTCTCTTCTACTCATCTTCAAGTGGTCCACCAATTCCGATCATTAGTCAACGAAGCCAAGAAGAAATAAAACGAGAATGAAAGAAGGGATATCATTGATAAGATGGATAATAAATACTGGCAATGATAAGAAAGAACGAAAAAACTTAAATTAAAATTAATTATCGCTTAAAATTAATTTATCGCATTGATTATATCAAAAGCTTTAACACAACTGAATGATAAATAAGCACATACTGTGAAATCCGCCGCTTTGTATACCCATTAAAACCGACATGGCGATCTTCGTAAATCACCGAGTAAACGAGCTGTTGGCTGATGTTTGTGCACGGTTTGACCTTTAATAATGCTATGAATGACTTCACGAGGACTCCTTTATAGACAATTGCGTAAACTTTCACCTTTGACCTCCGATTTTTTTTTCAATTTTCATTATTATTAATTTTTCTCGTTTTGTAGAGATTTTTTGATGAAACAAAAATTGTTTTTAGATAAAACTGAAATTTTTTTTTCGAATTTCGTCAAAGAATTTTCCAAAAATCATCATTTAGCGATAGAAAAACGAGGAAAATATCTCGAGATTTACTGAAAAATGGAAAATTTTATGGCAGAAACCAATAAAAATCAAATTTTTGAGCAGATTTAACTATCAAATTTGACATAAAACATGAAAATATCAGAATATATCAGTCACGCAGATGGTCGATTATATTCATTTCGTAGCTTTCATTTTTTCTGCACGAATATTCAAACAATATTCAAGCATTTCTTATAACGAGATTATCTGTGGAATTAAAACTGATAAAATGACTAAATTACAAGGACAGTGGTACTTAACCTAGTAGCGATATTCCATGGGGTCGATAGCAACGCGTATGCCACCTCGATTCCTTGGCTGTACTGCTATACTGAGGGCCAACAGCGGTGCGCATCTCACCTCGTTTTGTTTGGAGTTGCAATATTATCTGGAATCACCTTGCATCCTCCGGATTATTTATCTACGATTCATTAGAACCGAGTTCGCTGGCCTAAAAAATTCAGCTCGTTGTTTTTCTTCGGCAGATATTATTAAATTATTCAAGATTTGATGTGAATAAAATTGAATCATTTAAGCCTTGTGGCACTGAAAAACAATTTTCCTAAAATATATTTATTTGCATTATTTGGAATATTTTCTCCGCTAAAATTTGGAAAATGGTGATGCTTAGTGATAGTTATTTGCTTTATTTGCTTTAATAATAACTGCAAAAATATTTTTAGTGAAAAATCCTCTGCAAATATATTTTAGGAAAATTGTTTTTCATCTCTCTCACAGAACGGAAAACTCTCCATGAATATGAATAAGAAATTACCTATTGGAGGAATTACCTATTCAAAAACAAATTTGTTCGATGGAAATTTGAAAAATCCAAAGAAAAATTTATTCATTAATAGAAGCTATTTATATTCCTAGCGGCTAACGTTTGTATATCGCCATTCTGCGAAAATTCTCAAAAAGTTCTCAACCTTTAATAATAACTCATATCTCATCTGTGCAACGCACTACATCTGTCTAAATCTGTACAGTTTCAAGAGCTTCTCTGCACTCGCCTTACGAGTCAATAATGGCACTGATCCAGTTGTGCGAGAAAGACAGAAAGCGCCTAACGCACTTCCATCATTAACTGAACCTTTGCAAAAATTATTCCATCATCTCCTCTCACTAATAGGCAGTGAGTGAAGGGAATTTGAACGAATGCGAAGCAGTTATTTCATTCATGATGGCCGTTTTGCTAAAATGTTAGGTTCTTCTCCTCCGCAATGAATTATTCCGAAATGTTCGATCTAGCGGTTTTTCAAATGTCGTCTCCACTTAGAAAATTAAAAAAATTTTTCTTTATAGTTCTGAAAGGATTTTAAATAACAGCCAATAATTGTTTGAAGGTATATATAAGGCGTTGGTGGTACCATTTCTGGTTAGGCTCCGCTGGCTGCTAGGTTCCCACTTGACTGATAAAGAATTTCAAACCAAAAAACCAAAAAATTTCCCTCCTCGGCTGATTGAAATCTTATACATTTTGTTTCTTGTTACTAGGAGAGATAATCGTACCAGTAAATTAATGAATTTAGTAAAATCATTGGAATTATTGCGCGTACTGTAATCAGCAAATGGTTGTCTTCGGTAACTGAGGATCACTCCTACTCCATATTAACACTATTAAAATACTCCCCTCCAAATACTATTAAGGAGATCACTCCCACTCCAACACTATTACAATGTGTTCCAATAATAACACCGTAACAACAAACAAATTTTATATTTATAAAATTAGATGCACGCTTTCGCGCATATATAGATAAGAGAAATTTTTGACAATACTCTTCTATTAAAAATTTCCTATTTTTTTCAAATTTCCAAATTTCCAATAGTAAATTTGCCAGTTCAATAGTTCAAACCATCTGGAAATTTTCAAGTATTTTCTAGTTTAAATTAATGAATTGATCAAAACACTGCGTGATGCATTACATATCTTTGATTTGTGCCAAGGTTCCTTTTTATAATGTTTTTATTATATGTTGTTTAGATCTTTACGCTATCTATCCGTTATAAGATCCCTTTCAAAAACATCAATAGATACTAGGAATTCTATTTAACTCTTATTTTAAATGAATTTAAACGTCAACACTCATTATGGAAAATGATAAATGGTACTTTACAACAGGATGACCGAGTGTGCGTTTTCTAAAGCTCACGCACATCCGAGTTTTGCTAGAGATGCGACGTGATAAAATAACAGAACTGCATGGGCTATAAACGATACTTGTCAAAAATTTTTGACATGTATGATTTGAAATCTGAACTCGACTGGTTCAAAAAATTGTCATTTTGGATAATAATAAGAAAATGGATTTCCATTTTATAGCCTAATGTTCAGTGCCGAAGAAACTGGAAACTTACGTGGAAAATTACCAAATATATCTGTGCAATGTTTATTGGATTTTAGAAATAACTGAAAATAAAAATGTTTGCTGAAATATATTTACACAAAATTCACAGATGTATATATATATATATATATAATAAATATTATTAAAGTTGGATAATCGGTAAAAATATATAAAGAACCAATCAAGCATTAAAACAATAGATTCATATTTTCATAAGGGATAGTGGGAAATAAAAATGAAACGACCTTTGCAACAGTTCCTCCAAATTGCAAAAACTTTAAAGTGGTGTCCTTCTCCAGATCTCTCCAAAACTAATAATCTTCAGTATTCCCTATTAAGACAGGAAACGATAAATGAAAATGCTCTTTGCTTCTTCGTGAATGAATAATATGAAGGATCTTATCATTTATTTGAAGCACGAAATATCTATATACACCAAAAATACCACTGATTACTATTACAATACCAACCAAACCAAATATCAAAAATATTTTTAAATATTATATGAAAATAAAACTTAATAAATGCCCGATAAATCTAGAAAAAACAACTGATATCGCGACGATCGAAATATTTCGAAAAGTCGAGCATTCATGAAAAACTGCTGAAAATATATGATGTTACCACAAATGCCTTAAAACTATTTGAAGATCATTTGAAACACACCAAATCATAGAGAAAATGAAAGAAAGAAAAAAAAAAATTTTATTTTATTTATCTTTTTATTGAAATATTATTTTTCCATTAATATAAGTGAAAAAAATGAAACTAAATTGTAAAAATAAAATTTCTTCATATTTCAAAAATAATTTCTTTTAGGAACCATAGCAATCTGCAAAGAATTTACTTCTCTGAACTTGTATATGCGAAATAAAAATAAAAAATTCGATTAATATGCGATAGCTCCATTCCATGTGAAGACGCCAAATAATAGAAATAACAACAAAAACATTACCTAAAGATGATGTTCGCATAAGATAAAAGTTTTCAAAGCACGAATAATAATTAAAAATTACAGTCAAAAAAAGATAGTTCAGGCACTTTTCGAGTATAATGAAGGCAATTGCCAACCTCATTTGTTGGTGTAGAACAATGCCAAACTACAATATTACATATAAGAAATTGATGAAAAAAATGAACAAAAACAAAAAAAGGAAAGAAGGACGTGGTCGTGAAAAGTTGAAAAAAGGAAACGAGAAAGAAGACAAAAGACATAAAAGATAGAGAAAGACAAAAAAAACCTCTTGCATGGACATCTCGTTGCCCATAAAGTCGAAGAGTGCTCGAATCTCAAGCAAAAAAACAAAAAAACGAAAAATAAGCAAAAGGAAAAACCTTTTGCTTGTTTTTTAAAAGGCACCAAGTCAATAAAAGAGAATAGAAGCAATTTACCATAAAAGCTTGCATATGCGGATTCAATAACTCTTCTCAAAGTTCGCTTCTCGTAATTCTTCGGTGAAAAAATAAAAATACAAAGAACATAAACAGTCATTTCAAGAGCGCATCCAAGCGCACACTCATAAAAACTCCATTCCAGATCGTAAATATTTTGACGACCGAGAATAGCACGACGCTGAACCCATTTATTGTAAGCATCGCAAAGTATAAAAATAATCGCCAATTTGTGATAAAACTAAAATTGAAAAACTTTTATTCTAAAGGAAAATTTGTTAAATTTTTCATTTTAAATAGTTCCTTTCCGGCAGATATACGACTGTATTAAAACGGGTTTTTATTCCACTGTAGAAATGGCATAATTTTTTGCCTTAGGGAATTAAAGAACTTGAAATAAAATCAAAAATTTCGTAAGAATTTCGAAATCTGAATCTGAAAGTTGAAATCTGTGTAATTTTTTGTAAAAATGAATATAATCTTTCAAAAATCTGCCATATGACTTCAAAAAAATATTTAAAGAATGATCTTGCCCGCATATTTTTTCAGATTATTTTCAAGAAGTATTTTTTGTCAAGATTTATTCTCCCACAGATTTTAGTAATATTTACCAACTCTTATTTCTTTGTCGCTATTTATCTTATTTAAAAACGTAATATTTAAATTTAAATTCTAACCCATTCTTCAGGACATAAAGACCATATTTCAAAATCGTAAAAAAATGACAAAAATAAACTACATATTTCCTCAAGATTAAGATTAGACAATCTGGCATTTGACCTCAACTTACTTGAGTCTTAAACTTACTTTAATAGTCATATTTTAATAAGTAATCAGTGTGACTGTGACTTACACCTATTGCTTGCAATTTATATTGCTTCCACTGCTAATCGAAAATGGTTGTGTTGCTTATCTCGATATAAACTGGAAACTATTATTTCTAACAAAGAGAAAAGCAGTTGTGCACAAACAATTTCACTGTCGCTATAGATTTTCAGAATATGTTTCATTTATACAAATCAATTATAAAGGATTTCGCGGAACCATTACAATGGCCCTTTCAATGCATTAACAGTTCATAAATAATAAAATAAAATATTTTGAAATGGCCTAATAACAATGCACTCACCATTCCTTACTGCCGTATATGCAGACCCTTAAATTTTTATGAAATTCTATTTGCATGCAAGAAGATCTGGAGAGAATTTCAAGATAGGAATAAATAACTCAGACCTTTTTTTGAAGTAGTACTTCTGCTTATAAAAACAGAAATTCAAATTCTTTCCTTGAGGTCGCATTATGGTAACTTTTGTAAAAGTCATAAAGTAAAATTACTCAATCGCAAGATAACCGGATAAAAAATCTAGGAAAAGTTTTTGTCAAAATTTTTTTTTTTGATCCATAATTTGAACCATAATTTAATATTCATCTTGAATAAACTTTAAAGAATTTACTTAGTAAATTTACTGCGATTATTACAGATCTCCAAAAAATATCCTCTCCTTTTTCATTACTAAATTAATTTAACTGCTATTTAATTATTAAAGTTATTAACACTGATTATTACTGAATTTTTACCCACTTACTTCATATTTCGTATTGATCAGAAGATGCCTATAAGCACCAATATACTGAAGAACAAGATCAATAATTATTAAAACAGTATCATATTCAACATACTTGTCCACCAGTTTGCCGCAATTTTCCTTGAAAAGTAGTGGAAAATTAATGAAGTTACGAAAAGGCAAAATAAAGGAATGAATCTAAATGAACTTAACAGATGGTTTAATTCTAAAATTTAATCTTAAAAAACTGCAAAATAAACATGAAACATGATAATAAATAACTATAAAATCACTTAAGAAATGAGATTAAAAGAAATATAAAAATTTACACATCGCGTCAGCCGAATACCACTGTCACTAAATTTCTGGAATAAAGTATTTGAAAGCTCTCCACAATTTATACAAACAAAAACTAGATTTTCCATCAAAAAACAGATCCGAGCATGAATAGCTGAAAACAAAATAAAAATATTAGAGCAAGCGATCTGATGAAATTTCCGGTTTTCCATTTTCTTACTTATCAGTTTGGTCAGAGGTTATGATAATAAAAATGCCTATAACGATCTTTCGTACTCATGCCTACTAATTTTACATCAACAATAAAAATGTAGCCTTTTGTAGATAAAAGAAAACTATTATCTTCTTGAAAACCTCTATCTTACCTTATAATAATACCAAAGCTTGATTTTGGTATACCAATAATCCCTCAACTTTCTACTTCGATTATCCAATGTTTAAACAAAATTTTTACAACAAATTCATATTTTCATTCCCAATTTCATTAGCCTGTAGTAATTTAAAAATTAGATTATTTATATGTACCATAAAAGCAAATATATGATTGAAAATATAAAATAATTTGCGAAATATTTTTAATTGAAATTGAAAATCATCAAACGAAATAGCACGAAAAACGATGAAATAACGAAGAAATTATCCGAATACAAACGGATTTGCACAATTTTCGAACTTTCACATTCAAAACAAAAAGGAATAAAATGTCTCGAATACTCTCATTTCTCATTTCGTAATATCGAAGATAAAATTCTAGTTCTCGTGGCCTTTTTAAAAATCTGGATGGTGCTGGCAACCTCCGCTTCTACCATTAAGCGATTCTTTGGTAAAACTCTGGTTTGAAAAGCCAGGAGATCAATTAAAAGCAAATATCATCTGCTTAGAAGAAAAGATTTTAAGAATTCATTTCAGGGAAATCAGTAATCCAAACCAAACGAACGCAACATGTACGAACAACATGTATAGCAAATATTAAAAAAAAAAAGAAAAATTTTTCGACAAAAATCAAAAATAAATAAAATCGTCGTCACTTAAAAAAATTTTGCAGAATTTATAAATAATTTTTCGTTCCTATATATTTTCTTCCATATTTAAATTTTCTTGATAGAACTGAAATTTGTAAATTAAAAAGGAAAAACAATTTGATTTAACATTTAACACTTGATTTAACATTTTCGACTTGCCAAACCTTTCGCGCAGCCCAATGATATTCGTCCATTTTTTTTAACGAAACAATTTTCTTGTCTTGAGAATTCTCATCATTACCACATGGTTTTCTGAATCCAGCTCTCAAACTATCACTCGCAGATTTAGGAGTAAAATACGTCTTGAAATATATCATTATCTTCCTTGACTCCTTGGCCGTGGAACTATCACTTTGGGACAAGAAACAACAAAAAAATTCTTAGAAAAAAATTCGATGAATATACAATAAAAATCACCTGAAAGCGACGAAAAAAGAACGATTGGCCATGGATTCAACGAAAATCGAATTCAACGAGCAATTGTGATCTTAAAAAATTTTATTTTCTGCAAATTATAGCTTCTCGCATGAACTTTTCACAATATTAACAACACCAATATCACGAATTCCACGAGGATAATCACCATTCAAAATTTTTTCCAGTTCCTTCAGCAAGTGATATTGTTCTAATAAAGTGATTTGTTCCATTTTTAAAAGAAAATTATAATCATTTTTAGCCGCATAATCCTTCGATGAAATTGCTAATTTGCCAGGAAAATGAAATAATGCATCGAGAGAAATCGTTAAACGACGTTTTGGTCCACGGAATATCGGTTCAATCACAAGTAGTCCATTGCCAGGTTTTGTACCACATTTCCAGGCTCCAATGCAAAACCAAATACTTCCATTTTTATTGAACTTTAAAGAAGTTTCTGGAAGAGTTCCAGAAGAACCAGCATTAAATTCCTCATTCTGTGGTGTTCTTTCTTGATGAATATCGTTTATATCAGAATAATCGATAAATCTGTCAAGAATATTACAAAATTCATTATCTTCAATCGAAATGTCCTTATCATCTTTTTTAACCATTTCATTGTTTTCCATTATTAGTGATAAACCCGAAGTAATTAAAATTCCTTTTGAACCAATAGCTTCGTGCTTTAAACTCAGGAAAAAGTCAGCCTCATCCAAGAAATGCAATAAATTTAAATCAAGGAGTTTCCTAAATGCTATCAAATCGTCAATTTTGCTTTTTGCTGCCTTCCAAAACCATTTCTTAAATACAAATGGCAAATAGGCAATCGTTTTATGTCCCCTTGCAATAAAATGGAATAAGACTTTGGTTAGAGAAATTACAGGGAATGGTAAACATCGTAGTTTTCGGGGACCATCGAAATTCATCATTGCACGATCGTACTTCATATGACACCACTTTGAATTTAAGCCATAATATATACAACCAATAAATGGTCCATCAATGAAAATCTAAAATTTTATTTTTCGCATCACCATAATGAATAATTTATAGATGGATAGTGTGCAATATGTAAGCATCAAGATAAGATAGTCAAGCTGAAGTGAAATTATATGCTTAACACGGCACATGACTTTTCTTAATTTCTTGAACTATATCCTCAAAAGCAGCCAAACGGAGAATCCCACTATTTTTCATCAAGCCACAGCTAAAAATAATTCTCCCAACATGATTCTGCGTATATTTCTAACAGAGGCTAGAGGTACCAAAAATACGGGTATTCCTACTATTATGAGAAGAAATTGACAGGTCGTAAAAGAAATCCGAATATGAACTGAATAAGGAAATAACCGGTCGGAGAGCAGCCTCATCGGTGCGATTCTTCAATTCAAGATTGACTTTATCGAACACGACTATTTTCGATAAAATTCCTTCGATATTCGAGGGCACATTCGAAGCCAACGGAACATCGATAAAACCAGAAAGATTCGCGTCTGCGTAAACCGATCGATTGCCCATTATCTGGAAATCTTCGTGAAAAATTAACAATCCTTGGCAAAACTACAAATTAAAGTTATAAAGTTATGAAAATCGGTTAAAATGGCGCACTAACACGCAAAAAAATATCCAAACGGTGCAAACCATAAACTTCCAACCATTCATAATTTTTTGCCTCAACAATTGCTCATTTTTACAGCAAAAATAGCGTCCGGTCCGCTGTTTAGCAATGCCAAAAATTGCACAAATTGTTGTTCCTGTGTTGAATCTGGCTTTTAGTCGTAGCTTCTAAGACAATGCGACAAAGATGCAGTGCGAAATTTCGCATAGTCTTGAGGGAAGGGAAGCGAGTGGTGTCGGGAGGAGGCATCAAAGTGGGAAAAATTCCGCCAATAGGTTATGGCAAAGGATTAGTGAAAGAAAGTGACTGGTAGCCCCATTTATGCAAGATGTAGCACCTCAGCTTATTGCTGATTTCAGTTAGAAATTTTTGCCAGAGGATTTTTTGTGACGAAAATGTAAATGGGTTGGCAGCACCACTCCGGTTTTTTGATGGGGAGCTCTATTCACCGGGCTAGCCTAATATCTAAATCACTGTCCACTCGGCTATCCTGCCCCGGGGTTATAAGAGTGCCTAATTGGGATTGGGAAGGTGTTCATCCGAATATGACAGAATAAAAAATGCTGAAAGGCGTTTGCAGGTTGGATAAGTATTGTCAAAGGCTTTCAAAGAGCATTAGCGGGTTCCAGCGAAAATACACAATAGATTTCGGCAACATTCATGTTAGAAGATCTCCAGGATAAAATGTAAGGGGATTTAAGAATATGTTGCTGAGTTTTGAACAAATATCAATGGTTATATCAAGGTTGAACAATTTTTTTATTTATTTTTATTTATTTATTGAAAACCAGCCAAGCAGGGCGCAACGCCATGTGTTTATATTAGTAACAATAGTTAAAATAACAAATAATGATAGTTAATGATAAAAAAAGGAAGAAAATATGATAAAAAATTAACTCAAAACTCAAAACTCAAAAATTAACAATTCAATATATACAATAGAAGAAGCAACAGCGCAATACAACTACTTTAGGGAACGCCAGATTTAACAGGGATTTAACAGGTATCACAAAAAATTGTCAATTGATGCTGACCAATCGAAAATATTTGTGTAGATTACATCATATTTTGTATTTATTTATTTATTTATATCAGTGTTTGCGCCAAGAAAAAATTCATCTTTTCCTTCCAAACATCCGTTGAAATCCGTCAAATGTTTTCCTATTCAGCAGAATCCTTGTTATTTTTCTTCGGTTCTCGCTTTGCACCAAACTCTCGAAATGTTTGTTGCTCAAATCATCACCACCAAAGTCTAGAACCTGACCAGAAAGGAGTCATTCATTAAGAAATCTGTGAAATACTGAGGAACAATTCTTACTTCTATCCCTAAGTGATAGAGCCTTTCTATGCTTTTTTTCTGGTGCTAATGGAACTAACCTAATGAAGAATATTAACGTAAATCAGGTAAATCAATCATTTATTATGTTCCTTTAGGCCCCTTGAAATTCTGCCGTATTTTTTTGCTAAAATTAGGCCTGCTTAGCTGGTTTTCAATAAATAAATAAATGATATAATAAATTGTTCAAACTTGCTATAACCATTGATATTTGATCAAAACTTATTGCATTTGCTTAAAACCCTTTCGAAATCTCTCGATTCTCAGCATACAACTTCGGTAATCCACTTTGACAATGCGGTCATGGCGAATGAGACTTGGCAAGAATATATTTAGGGGACGGAAATTTATCTCTTTAAATTTTCTTATACATAGATTTTTTTTTCCACTTATATACGAATAACTATGTGAAGATTAAAGGCAAAATGGCCACAGAGTTTTTTAGTCATTGCCAAATTTTAATATTTTCATTTTTTTGCGAGATTATCGCCTTTAATAAGAATAATATTAGGTGAAAAAATTTGGCTTGATTATCATTTTAAAACGTGGCTTAATCCTGAACTGATTCCTCAAATCGTAATGTTACAGCATTACAGCAGATTGCCTGGAAACTTTTATTTGGTTCATAATGGCCAGTTTTTCTTTTAAAAGGAGAAAGGGATCGGACGGAAGGTCGGCCGCATTTTTGAAGCATTTGCTTTTCCCATACCATACTAATTATTAAAATACATTTTTCTAGTTCAAAAGCGAAGCAAGTTTTCATTCATGAATGCTAATTACTAATTGCTTATATTTTTTCGCTATATACTTATTAGTGTACTTATTACTTATATGGTTACCATAAGTTGCCATATTTTTATATATTGTACATTTTTATATATTATATAATAATATATAATAAGTTACTCAAAAGTTAGTGAAGAAAATATTTTAAATTTTTATACAGCAATTACAAAATGAATCGCAGTGATAATCATTTCAACATATTTTTTTATTTAATATATTTATTCAATATAAAATTATATAAAATTATCCAAGGTGTAAGAATTACCAAAAAAATTCCACTTAGTTGTTTTTTATTTTTGTTTTATTTTACAAACAGAAACCAAACGAAACATGCAGCATGTATTGACATGCTTCGATAATGATCCATTATAAGAAAAACGATACTTATTATTATCACTTATTCTCATATTTTTTCTCGGAATCTAAAGATTTCGAGTAATGTCAACCTGCAGATAAGTTTCTTTTAAAATTTATTTCGTTTATTTTTCTAGCTTATTTTCCATTCTTAATTGCGTTTTCCTTAATTATTCATTTTCGTCTTTGACACGAGTAAATCTATCTATCATGATATCGAAAACCCGCGTAGCTGCTAGGGATCCATATGCTCTATCCTCAAATGATTCTGTAGTGAAAAGGTCAGGTCTTTCTGGCACGTAGTCCGCATCCTTCGACGCACATAATACTCCCAGCTTGGTGATACATGCGATAAATATACAATCGGATTCTCAGTAAAATGATCCTAAAGCCTGAGAATAGAATGTGCTCGCGAGCCAGGACAATTATTCAAAAGCCTTCTAAAAGGAACGACGAATTTTCTGTTGGTACTCACGTACGGCGAGGTAATAGCTGCTTGAAAGGCTTATGGACGTTACAACCCAAACGATCACTACCCACTCCCTTTCTACATCATATGAATGTTACTTGTTTCACTCAGAGGTCCGTCTTCCTCGCTTCAATTATCGAGTAATTACTAAACCTGGCTCTGAGCAGAGGTTTTAGATATATCATAACTATGTAAGATATATTAACTTCACTCGAGAGTGATGCGGTTTTTCAGTTGTTGGTCTGATGATTGTCTTTTGTACACAAACAGACTAAGAATTTCTTAGTCTTTAATTATAACATTTCTTTAATTATAACATAAATTATAAATAATAAAGTTTAATGGGTTTATATAAAAAAAACAAATAAGAGAAAAAGACGGAGTTTCTCGCACATTAACAAATTAAACAATTTTGAAATAATCTATTCTATATATTCTATTCTATACGCGTATTTAGTATGAATAGCATGCAGTACATAATTAACAGATTTGTATTATTTTTAAACTAAAATTATTTGATTACGTCTTAATAGATGTGAGATAATAGAAATGTGAGATTTTGTATGCTAAATTAGCTTTTTTGGGTATGCAAAAAAAAATTAGAATTTAAGAATAGTAAGCTGATTCATAGCATTTATTTGAGGAAATTATTTTATGTATTCTTTATGTTCGCTATTTGCGATAAATGGCTCGATTAGGCGATAATAGAAAATAGAAAACTAATTCATCTTCTTCGCAAAGCAATTATAAACTTTGTCAGTGTAAATAATACGGGGTAGTAATGGTATGTCTGTTAATTCTATTAGAGATCGCGTCATTAGAGATCGAGGAGGAAAGGGATTCATTGAAGCCTAATTTAACCATGATGCACCATCTATTCTCTCGGATATAGCCGGTTCGCTTGTCGAGCCATATTTTTGCATTTGCCCGCAAAACAGGAAATAATCTCTGCTATCCAGATACTTGAAGCCAATAAAACTTCCGGAGATGGAGAGAGGGCTGAACTCTTCAAATTTTGCCTATCGTCCTTCTTAACACTTTCAACAAATATTCTTTGTAGTCTACCAGATGACTGAAGCAAAGCAGTTCTCTTCTAATCCTTAAGAAAGGAACAGGGCATATTATTAAGGAACCAGTTTACTAGAACCTACTAGACATGTCTGGGGAAATCTTCGCTTCTACTAGATTTAAACAGTAGAAGGCAACAGATGCGCCAAGCCGATCCGAAATTAAACGCGGCTGTGCTGAGCAGATATTTATGTTAAGAAGGGCGCCGGAATAGCTCTTCAAATATTTGCAATCCACCGACACTTGTTTTTGCATCGATTCTGCAGCTGCTTTGGATTCATTTGATAAAGCAGCGATTTGGAGCAGTGATTGAATATGACGGGTGTTCCAGAGAAGATCATTTGGCTTAAAGGATAATGGACATCGCTTGTCGGCACTCCAAAGATGTACAAATCAGTGCAGAGCATTATATTCACGGATCTTGGTTGCGGTGATGATGTAGTCCTATTTGCTAAATGTTATGGCAAAATAATGCTAAACAATATGTCAACAAGAATCGGATTCAGGATCAGTGTAAATAAAATGAAAGATTTTTCGTCTTATATACAAGAAGCTAATAAAATACTAATTGTTTTTAATAATTCATCGTCGGTTGAGGAAGTGCCAGACTTTAAATATGTTGGATCTAATCCAATCCTAAACGGCTAAGCAAAAGACAATTCGGATAGCGACAGCTAAAAATGCAATCATTTGGCTGATGAAATTTTTGTGGAATCGTCTAGAAATCGTTATGAAAATGAAAATGGAAGTCCGCGTCTAAATGGTTGTAATTCGCTCAATCTTGTTATATGGTTGCAAGATATGGCTTTTTGAGAGGATGATATTAAGAAATTGTCTTCTTTTGACTATTAATGTATTTTATGTATTTTACGGGCTCGTCGAGAGGATAAAATCCATCATATGACTGCATCCATTTTTGCACCCGCATTAATAGTGCCATCACAGAGCGTTCCTTCGCTGATAAAGGCATGTTTTTTGTCGATCACCAGAGGAATTGATGCATATTTCGTTACTTGCTAAACCCTGTATTGGATGACGTCAAAAATAACGAGGGCCAAATAAGACCTGGATTGACAAGAAAGATTTTGAATGTATATGTGAACCAGCAATACATGGTCTTAGACATGGAAAAAGGATTGACTTTTATGGTATTAATTTTGAAGATACTCTTCTCCCAAGTCTCTTCTATCCACTGGGGGCTCAATATTAGATCCTTTAAGGACCATTTGTCAATGTTCACCACGATTTCTTCCTCGGGTGGCATTTCAGGTAAATTTGTCGCTATAATAGAGAATTTATTGGGAAATATTCATCAATACATTATCAATGTATATGCTCCCATTAGTAATGACTTATTGCATTTTTAGACCGCTTTTTTCCATCTTTGATTTAAACTTTCTTCAGGAATCATTAGATTGATTAGATGATTTTTATCTTCTCTAGTTCAAAAACATTTCCTGACACATTTTCTTATATTCCATAGAGAAGTCTCAGTTCCTCGATAGCTTTTGCGCAATCTTTTTTGGAGCTTATAATTCGATTTATATAAAATTTATGTATACTAGAAAGAAGATAGGTTACCAGTGTAGTGAAGGTTAATATGGTATATGGCAGAGCAATTCATGACAGCAAATAGGCATTCATTTATTTTAGTTGAATTTTCCGAAATTTATATAGTAAATTCAAGTAAAAGGTATTGAAAAAGATATTATTTTTAAGACATTATGATATAATCGTGGATAAATAAAAAAATAAGCTTAAATTCCACGAAAATTTATGAAGTTGTAAAATAATAAGCAATAAATTTAATTTTAAAAAAATTTCACTTATTTAATTTAAGAGCGAAGTGTAATTCGCTTGTGATACGGTCACACTCTTTATTTCTATGCAAATATTTTACACAGTTCATTTCATAAATTTTCGTTTGGATGATCAATTTTAGGAAATATTGAAGGAGACTTAGTTCGTGTTTACAAATTATTATTATGTCCTTCCATAGAGAAGGAGCGTGATAATTTTTCGGATGGCAGGTTCAAACAGGTTTGAAAATGGTGAAACTCATCAAATAAGTCATCGAAATCAAAATTTTATTACCATATATTACCATTAACCAGCGTCTTATCGCCTGTTTACAAAGAAAAGAACGACACTTTGCCAACGAAAACCGCATTGGTTAAGCGAGCGATTTTGTTAAATATAATTGGTCGGATCGACATCGATTGAAATGTTAATTACTTTTATCGTAATTTATACTTCAGCAGGTAACTGAAATTGTAAGCTCGATTTTTTTCAACGATTTCAATTTAAAAAAAAATAATTTAATATCAATTTACTTTAATAGCAAATTATAACATAATTTCGCATGAAAACATTGAATATTCACGATTTATTTATTTCGATAATTTTGCTGCGAATAATTTATAATCCATAATTTTCCAATTTTCGAGGTAATTTAAAGAAAAAATTCTAAAATTTCAAAGGAAAATCAAAAGTTTTCTGATAGTTTTAAAAATTCTTTAAAATTGTTTTTATGAAAAATTTGGAAAATTTTTACTAAAAACTTTTATTTTATTCAGTATTTTAGTATTCAGTGAATACGTTTTTAAAACCATCCCAAACTTTTTCCATTTAAAGCAAGAATTGCAAATCTTCAAGAGCTTTGCTTATAAATCCATATCCAGATGTTTTTATATAGGAAAGTATTTTAAATAGTATTTTAGATTTATTTTGATTAATGTTAAGATTTTAGATATTGTAGATACTGTAGAACAAATTGATGATATTTCAAAAAATTTCAGTGGATGCTCAATTTCAATTAAGTGGCAACCAAGGAAATATATTTATATCGGAAAGAATTATGGTATATTATTTTTTTCTGTAATAAGAATAATTTTTCTGCAAAGTAGAAGCCATAAAATTGACAAATATTGTTTAAATTGCCAGTTTTAATTTGATTTAAAAAATTGAATAAATTTTGTGAAATCACGATGAACACAAACGTATTTTTTCAGCAACCATCTGGTTCATTAAATCCGTTCATGATAAATCTTCAATCATTGCTTCAAAACATTTTGAAGCCATCTCCATTTCTTTCTCATTTACAACACAGGCTACAACCTTCGTTCCTACAACCACATATCTTTACATCCACATCACCATCGCTCATCGGAGTTCAACAGACTATATTTAATGATACGACATTGGCGGAAACTCGCAAACAGGTTAAATAATTTAATATATTTAATTTAATTTAATAATTTAATATTTAAGCGAAACTGGTCTTCACCAGTCATTATTCTGTGCTAGGTGCTGATAATGTTTAGTTGGTTTTTAATTTAGGTTTTTCACGGAACTATTATATCGATTGTTCCTGATTTTGTTAAAACCAAATCATAGTTAGCTACATTTCTAACCATTTGATATGAAAAATTTTTCAAATTAATTTTGATAATTTTCTTTCCCGACTTCAATTTTATAGGTAGTTAATGAATTATTTGTAAGATCATGCAATTTCAATTCTAATAAAATTGTGAAATATTTAAAAGGCTTTTATTTATGTTATTTGAAAATTTAGAAATTACATAAAAGGAGGATAACAACCGAGGGAGAAATTCGACGGCAACGTAAAGAAAATATAGAAGGTCTAACCAAAATGCACGATGGTACCACAGGTCTGTCATAAGAATTTTTGCTGAACCAGATATATTTTCAAAACTTTTCTAATTACTAATTTGAAAAATTTTTTCGTTCAATTTTGTTGGATTTTCTGCTAATAAGAAATTGCTTTTTTTCGTCTGCAATTTATTTATTTAGAAATATTATAGAAATATTATAAATATATTATAGAATTCAATAAGAATAAGAAAATTCAAATTATTTAGCTATTAAATTGTTCCTAAATCTTTAATTTATGAATTAAATTCTCAATAAATTAAGATTCATCCAAACTTCTAACAAGAAAAAGTTACCATGAATATCAAAGCTAGTCAATCTAAGTCGCCTTATTTTTATTTTATAATCATATTTTTCATATTTTTTTTACAGGCGAAGATTCAGTCATAAATAAACCTCCAAATCTTCCTGGACTTGTCACATTCAGAAGCTCGAAAAGTATTAGCTAATAGTGTGAGAGAAATTTTAATTTTCAGTTTTTTAAAATGTGTTTTACTTTTGCTAATAATGCAAATTTATTGTTTATTTTCATGTGTAGGCTGTAATTTTTATTAAGATTTTTTCTCATTTTGTTTTCTTAGAGATGATTATTAAAATAAATAGATGATAATAGAAAATTAAATAATAATAAATAATTAATTTAAATTCCTAAAATTTCTTTCGAAAAAACAGTAACGAAAGCGATAGAATTGGTAAATAATTCAATAATTGGTGGGGAGAAAAATAATATGGTTTGATCTTGAGCGGTTGTATTGTTATTCTGCTGCAATTATTTTATTTTCGCAATATTTTCTAGAATTTTCTATAAACTTCGGACTACGAACTAAGTACTTTTTTGTTTCTTTTTTTTCATCTTTTTCTCTTTTCCCTAAATTTAAAAACAAACAAAGAATTAAATATATATATATATGTATTTCATTTCTATATATAAGATTTATAATATTATAAAACAATAGGAAATAATTATGTCTGTCTTTGACAGGAGTAAACCTGCCATGTCAAAAATCCTAGTGGTTGCCGGTGACTCATCTGTAACTTTATCCCAAAGTGACTCTGTGCTGAAAGGGTCATGGACATGTTCTTAATACGGCGTTCGCTTATTTTCCCGGCGCATATGATACTCCCAGCCCGGTGGTACTTGCGATAAGTATACAATCGGGGGTTGAAGCGATCCTAAGGCTGACAAATACCCTCGCAAGCCACGGTAATTGCTCGAAACCTATCAAGGGCCCTCTGCAATGCTTGGCAATGTCCCTTTCTGTGGTACTTCGAATAACTCAGGACGAAATAGCGTAGCGATTGTCATGTCTAATAAGGCCCATTCTGCTTTGATTGAGTGGATAAGCGACCGTATGGTCTATGTTTGTTTTAAGGGAAAATTCTGCATAGTCTCACTATCTCGGTCATCAATGTCTATGCTCCATCTCTATCGGCAGATGTCCGAGATAAAGATAAGTTCTATGCGAAATTTCAATTGCTAACAAAATCTCTAGCGATACATGACTTGGTTATAATTGAAGGAGACTGGAACGCACGCGTAGGTCCTACTGCGGCGCTGAAACGGGCAGTCTTCATGGATCTGACCATATTATGGTTCGAGCCAAGATCCGCATAAAATTGATAACTCGTAGAAAACAACATCCCCCAAGTTTTTTCAAATATCTAAAAAATTCGGAGACAGTGAGCGTATTTCAAACCGAATTATTGAAATATCTCAATGATACAAATATCAATGATTTTTCTGGAACGGCAAATAAATATCCAAACTAAAGGAATATCTCCGAAAATCAGCCACTTCCACGTACTAGTAGGAAGTGCGCTAGTTGGGTATCGAAAGCAACTGTCCAATTGTCTGAAAAAACTGCCAAAGCACGAATGTCCTGGCTACCGGATGTTTCGAAGAATTGCAACGAAAGCGGCAAGGCGGGACAGAAATCTCTATTGGAGTGACATGGCCTCAAGAATAGAGGCGGCGGCTCGATTAGACGACAATAGGAAACTATTCTGCCTTCTTCATAAAGCAACTCGGGAATGATCAGTGAAATAGAGACAGCAATGGCGTACTAATCAAAAATATTAAGGATCGCCTCATAAGATGGAAAGAATTCTTTGAGGCCAAACCATGAAGCGCCATCTGTCGCCTTTGATATAGCTGATAGTTTGCCGAACGCTTGCAATTGCGAGTCTCCAAAAGAAGAAGAAATTTCCATTATCCATAAGCTTAAGGCCAACAAAACTCCAGGAGATGGTCTTCGGGCTGAGCTTTTCAAATACTTTCCATCGTCCTTCATAACGCACCTTCAACAAATGTACTCTTATGGAAAAAAATATTGCCAGATGTTTGGAGCAAAGCAATTCTGCTCCTAATTCTCAAGAAAGGTGATAGGACATACTGCTACAATTATCGAGTAATCAGCATATTAGACGTCTCAGCAAAAATTTTTGCTTCCCTGCTATTCAACAGACTTATGAAAGTATGGGACAGCAGGATGCGCCCTAATCAAGCTGGTTTCAGACCAGGGCGCGGTTGCGCTGACCAGATAACCAGATATTCACGTTAAGAAGAGTCATCAAATATTTGCAACCCACTGTCACGTGTTTCATCGACTTTGCGGCTGATTTAATTGATAGAGCGGCGCTTTGGAGGGTGATGAAACGTGACGATGTTCCAGAGAAAATCATTAGACTCATAAAGGCATTTTATGAGCGCACCTAGGCGGAGGTCTGTGTACTGACAGATTCTTTCGAAATAAAAACATGTGTCCGTCAGGGCTGCGTCCTTTCCCCCACAATATTCAACTATGCGATAGACTGGGTAATGGACACCGCTTGTCGGCATTCAAGGAATGTACAAATCAGTCCAGAGCATCGTATCACAGATCTTGAATACGCTGATGATGTAGTCCCTTTTGCTGAGTTATGACGAAATGCTAGATAATTAGAAACTGCAGCAAGAATCGGACTCAGGGTGTATATAACGAAAGTCTTTTCGTCTTATGTGCATGAAGCTGATAAAATGCCTCTTTTTGTAAATTCATTACCGGTTGAGGAAGTTCCTGATTTCAAATCCTTGGGTCCATTCTAATACCAAATGGCCAGGCAACAGACGATATTATAGCCAGGATCACAGCAGCTAGAAATGCGTTTTTCTGGTTGACGAAATCTTTATGGAGCCGTCGTGAAATTACCATTAAAACAAAAGTCCGCATCTATAGTGATTCGTTCGATCTATTAGTTCTGAGACATGGCCAATGAGAGTGGAGGATAGAAGCTATATATACCTTTGACCACTTTTGTCTAAGGTACATATTACGAATCCGTCTAACGGATAAGATATCACATGATTGCATCCACCCTCGTTTAAATACCACTTGCATAAAATAATGTTATCACAGAGCATCGCCTTCGCTGGTTAGGGAACGTTCTCCGTCTTCCACCACAAGAGTTGTCGCATATTTCGTTACTTGTTAAACTGTGATGGATGGCGTCAAAAACGAGGTGGGCCAATCAAAACCTGAACTGATACGGTAGAAAAGATCTTGAACATATAGGTGGACTAGCAATATATGAACTTAGATGATGAGGAATGGCTTCTATTACTGTCGACGATTGCATCAGACAGCGCAACTTGGAAATGTCTTACTCTTTAGCCGTTGGAGCCAGCCTAACCAGTAATGATGAGAGCTGTTAGAAGAAAAAATATGATGAAGATGGTAAATAAATGAAATTTATACATCTTGAATAGCAATGCTAGAAATAAAAGTAATGGAATAGAGAAAATTCTGAATATGGAGGTAAGATTAAATAATCTAGGTAAAATTTGATTGGAAAGACGAATTCTTTTGCTAAAAGTTAAAACAACAATTAAAGTGCAATCATCATTCATAAAACCATTCTCTATAGAAATATAGAATTTCTATATTTCAAATATAAGAGAATTTAGAAATCTTGTAAATGCAAAATACAGAAATGAGAAAAGTAAGAAAGGAGATTCATTGCAAATCACTAGCAGAAAATATGTGAATTGGTAGGTTTGCAATGCACGTAAGCAATGTGGGAAAAAGAAATGGTTTCTGCCATTTTCACTTTCAGCGCCGGAGAAAGATGGATTTTAAACAAAAGCTAACGGAATCTGCCTAACCTATAATAATCAGAAAAAAGTGAATATTTTACTTAATTTGTGAATATTTGCTTTTATAACCACCATGAGTTATGAAATTTCTATTAAGATACAAATTTCTATTCGATTAAAATACATCGTCTAAAATATCCATGGTAAAAATAATATAAAGCTTTTTATCATAAACTTTTAACGACAACATTTAATCACTAAAAATCATTTTTTCTAAAAGTGAAAAACTAGAGATTAAAAATAAACAATATTATCTTATAAATAATGTTATTTTTTTTAACAATTCTGTTATCGATATTCCGTATTATCGATATTTATGAAAATTCATTTCCATTCATCTCATAATTATCACCCCATTGTTTGATAATGTTGATTGTTCGCTTGTGAATTGATACTCGCCTGCAATAATTATCAAAATATTGGTTCTACAATGATTAGCCAAATCAGCAGTATAATTCTTTAAAATTTGCTAATGTGAACTCCAGCGAAAGCTTTTTTCTGGAATTCGAGCGCTCTTCCCAAGACGATTTATATTTTTCTCTGAGATCAAATAAGATAAAAAAAATGAAAAATCAAATAAAAAAAATGGAATTTTTTTAAAAATTATTTCAGAAATAAAATTTAAAAAACAGAGACATCTAAAATCTAAAAGACATAAAACCAAAATATGTGCTGTAAATTAAGAAAGAAGACGATCTGAAAAATTTCGAATAAAATTTAATTGATGTCAACAAATAAATTTGGTTCGCACCATTTGTAATATTTTTTCTACTAAAAAAAAAGATTATAAGTACGGTGATAAGAGTTGAGGTTATTCTTTATAACAATTTTATGAATATTATCCAATTCTGGGCATAATAATAATGTTAAGCATCAAGTAATATGATAATACTGTATTAATATTTGTGGTTTTTTTATTAATATTGTTTTATCACTCATATTAATATGCTTATATTAATAACAACAGTTGAAATAACAAATAATAATAGTTAGTGATAAAAAAAAGAAGAAAATATGACAAAAAATTAACAATTCAAAAAGAAAATAAAAAGATAATCACGAAATAGTGTAATATATTGCAATCTGAATTCGAATCATTATATATATATATATAATCGGATGGTAAAAATCGAGATTTCAGATTTCCTGCATGATGTGAACTTTTTAAATAATATCATGAATGATATTATCTATTATTTATTTTTTTGAAGATGACTAAGGATGAAGCAAAGGCTATCGTTCGATAATTTATTCCAGTGATTAATATTACGAATAAAAATGTCATAAGTCCTTAGTTTATTTTTATACATGGGTTTT